TGTATGCCTCGCCTGTCAATACAGCTTCATTAGGAGAAAACATTTATTACAGATCCATCAACCAGCTTGTACAACGCTCTTCTGATAGGCTGGATCCATAGCCTCATGCAATAGTCTGCACTCACGAATCCAACCGACTTGTCGGATCAGTCGCCTGTTTTTCAAGGTTTAGGTTCTCTATTTCAGGAGAAACACTAAAATGATGTCTCTCGAAGATTACGAAACTATGTTAAATGCAATGTACTCATAGGAATAGTGGAAGACGCCTTTCCAAAATATAAGCAGAACCTAAAAACAGGAAAGTGCCCGTAGAATGAAAGAAAAGAGTGCTTAACTGTTATACACTATCTGATCTCATTGATGACAGCGAATGCTGAATAATCTCACTGATAAAGAAGACTTGAAACGGCAAATGCTAAGACTATCATCGACGGAAGATGTGAGAAATGACGAGATTTTAAGGAAAATAGGAGTTACAAAGAAACATATTTATATTCAGAAAGAAATAGCTGCAGTCCGAAACCTTACAGAAATAGTGTGAGATGCCTTTTCCAGAAAATGAGTAGGGTATACAGAAATAGTGTGAGATGCCTTTTCCAGAAAATGAGCAGGTTATACAGAAATAGTATGAGATGCCTTTTCCAGAAAATGAGCAGGGTATACAGAAATAGTGTGAGAAGCCTTTTACAGAAAATGAGCAGGGTATACAGAAATAATGTGTGATGCCTTTTCCAGAAAATGAGCAGTGTATACAGAAATAATGTGAGATGCTTTTCCCAAAAAATGAGCATTGTATACAGAAATAGTGTGAGATGCCTTTCCCAAAAATGAGCATTATATACAGAAATAATGTGAGATGCCTTTCCCGAAAATGAGCAGGGTATAGAGAAATAGTGTGAGATGCCTTTTCCTGAAAATGAGTAGGGTATACAGAAATAGTGTGAGAAGCCTTTTACAGAAAATGAGCAGGGTATACAGAAATAATGTGTGATGCCTTTTCCAGAAAATGAGCAGTGTATACAGAAATAGCGTGAGATGCCTTTTTTAGAAAATGAGCCTTGTATACAGAAATAGTGTGAGATGCCTTTTCCAGAAAATGAGCATTGTATACAGAAATAGTGTGAGATGCCTTTCCAGAAAATGAGCAGGGTATAAAGAAATAGTGTGAGACGCCTTTTCCAGAAAATGAGCAGGGTATACAGAAATAGTGTGAGATGGCTTTTCCAGAAAATGAGCAGGGTATACAGAAATAATATGAGATGATTTTCCACAAAATGAGCAAGGTATAGAAAAATAATGTGAGATGCCTTTCAAGAAAATGAGCATTGTATACAGAAATAATGTGAGATGCCTTTCAAGAAAATGAGTAGGGTATACAGAAATAGTGCGAGATGCCTTTCCAGAAAAATTCATTGTATACAGAAATAATATGAGATGCCTTTCCAGAAAATGAGCATTATATACAGAAATAGTATGAGATGCCTTTCCAGAAAATGAGCAGGGTATACAAAAATAATGTGAGATGCCTTTCCAGAAAATGTGTAGCGTATGAAGAAATAGTGTCAGATGCCTTTCCACAAAATGAGCAGGGTATAAAGAAATAATGAGAGATTCCTTTCCAGAAAAAGAGCATTGTATACAGAAATAATATGAGATGCCTTTCAAGAAATTGAGCAGGGTATAGAAAAATAATGTGACATGCATTTCCAGAAAATGAGCATTGTATACAGAAATAATGTGAGATGCCTTTCCAGAAAATGAGTAGGGTATACAGAAAGAGTGTGATATGCATTTCAAGAAAATGAGCAGGTTATACATAAATAATGTGAGATGCCTTTCCAGAAAATGAGCAGGGTATACAGAAATAATATGAGATGCCTTGCCAGAAAATGAGCAGGGTATGCAGAAATAATATGTGATGTCTTTCCACAAAATGAGCAGGGTATAATGAAATAGTTTGAGATGCCTTTCCAAAAAATGAGTAGGGTATAAAGAAATAGTGTGAGGTGTCTTTCCACAAAATGAGCTGGGTATACAGAAATAATGTGAGATGCCTTTCAAAAAATGAGCATTGTATACAGAAATAATGTGAGATGCCTTTCCACAAAATGAGGAGGGTATACAGAAATAATGTGAGATGCCTTTCCAGAAAATGAGCGTGGTATACAGAAATAATGTGAGATGCCTTTCCAGAAAATGTGCAGGGTATAAAGAAATAGTGTGAGGTGTCTTTCCACAATATGAGCTGGGTATACAGAAATAATATAAGATGCCTTGCCAAAAAATGTGCAGGGTATACAGAAATAGTGTGAGATGCCTTTCCACAAAATGAGCAGGGTATACAGAAATAATGTGAGATGCCTTTGCAAAAAATGAGCAGGGTATACAGAAATAGTGTGAGGTACCTTTCCACAAAATGAGCAGGGTATACAGAAATAATGTGAGATGCCTTTCCAGAAAAAGTTCATTGTATACAGAAATAATATGAGATGCCTTTCCAGAAAAAGAGCATGGTAAAAAGAAATAATGTGAGATGCCTTTCAAGAAAATGAGCAGGGTATAGAAAAATAATGTGAGATGCCTTTCAAGAAAATTAGCAGAGTATACAGAAATAGTTTGAGATGCCTTTCCAGAAAATGATCAGTGTATGCAGAAATAATGTGAGATGCCTTTTCCAGAAAATGAGCAGGGTATACAGAAATAGTGTGAGATGCCTTTTCCAGAAAATGAGGAGGGTATACAGAAATAGTGTGAGATGCCTTTTCCAGAAAATGAGCAGGGTATACAGAAATAGTGTGAGATGCCTTTCCAAAAAATGAGCAGGGTATACAGAAATAATGTGAGATGCCATTCAAGAAAATGAGCAGTGTATACAGAAATAGTGTGAGATGCCTTTCCAAAAAATGAGCAGGGTATACAGAAATTATGTGAGATGCCTTTCCAGAAAATGTGCAGATTATATAGAAATAATTTGAGATGATTTTGCAAAAAATGAGCAGGGTATACAGAAATAGTTTGAAATGCCTTTTAAGGAAAATGTGTTTAGAAGCAAGGAAAAAAGTGGCCACGTTAAATAATTTCGCTAAGTATGATTTGTTTTGTTTGTTTAGTGACATATAAACTCCTTATGGGTCATTTCATGCTGAAATTTTACTTTTCTTGGGAGAATATTTTTTTTTACAAAAAATGTACTTCTGTCAATATTTTTTTGAAAAAATGTATTGCTGGCAATTTTTTGACTATGAAAATATATTGCTAGTATTTTTCTATAAAATTATATATATATATATATATTTATAAAAATGTATTGCTGTTATTTTTACTATAAATTTATATATATATGTTTTTTATAATTTCATAGTATTTTGATCCCAGTTTGGGTTTTTTCTATTTACCCATATTCGCGACCCAAACAGGTGTTACCACCCCGGGTCAGACTGAAACTGGGAACAATAGCAATTAAAACGTGGTTCCGCACTCCTCAAAACCTCCCGATCAGAGGCCTTGCTGCCGGATGTAGTTTATCGTCATACCCAGGAGGCAATCTTTCTAAGATCGAGTATAATTCAGGGTTAATTTTCTGAAGGACAACCACTAAGATTTTTTTCTGAACCGGTAGCCTTCTTAGTGTCAATACTTATCGAAAATCTTGACATTCTCTGGTCTGTGATAAAAATATTATTGTGTTTGGTGAGACAGGCAATATTGGGAAGGGGATGGTCTTTGCTAAAGGCAAAGATCGTTGCGAAGAGCTTAACCTTATCTGATGAGGATGAAAAGACCTCAGGACCATTTATAATAGCAGGCACTGACATTTTGCCTCTATTCAAAATCTGATGGGCGTTCTTCGACAACTCCCAGAATCCAAATTGTTTTCGTTTGACCTTGGCCTGGACTGCTTGTTCATGGCTACACTTTGGATTTTTAGAGCTCTGTTGCAATGATTGCAGGCAAGTGTCTTAATACGGCGGTATTCCGGGCTACGGCCTGGTCACAGCCAACAGTTAGGGCGGCGTTCAGGGTCTAATCCCAGTCTCGGCAACCAGATTATAGCGGCGTGGTTGGGACCGCGACCGGGATCGCAGCTTGCTCGCTCTGGTCAGGATCGATTCTGGTATCGAAGAACAAGCTGTCAGCCCACACTTGTTGGTCGTTGATGGCGTTTGACACAGCAGCTGGTCTTTAGTTTGACCTCTTCAGCTATGACCTCTCTTACCCACGTTGTGATTTTTGATCTTAAGAGAGTCAAGCCGAATTATCACTGGGGTATTTCAACCACACTAAACCAAGGAGTTGAATTCGCGCACACAAAATTGAAAAATAAAATGGACGACGCCCGAATAAGTCACTATATGATGTTTATATCAAATAAAAAAAATATTTACAGTTCTTTTCTTTTTCTTCTTTTCCCAACCCGTTCTAATATTTGACGACGGAACGAAAATTTCGGGTAACTTCTTTAAGGGCGGCCAGACTTGACAACTGGATTTATCTTCAAGTATTGTGGTTTGTACTTTCCAGAGCGGCACAAGGTTTCTCGTCGGAGTCTTTCTTCAGCGACTACTGGTTTTAACTTGAAGTACTGTTGATTGTACTTTCACGGACGGCACAAGGGTTTCGTCAGAGTTTTTCTTCTTCAGCAGATATTATTATTATTATTATTAGGTTGGCAAAACAGCATTATGGCAGAAATCTCTTAACTCCCTGTCGCAATTTCACTCCGACTGCAACTGCAACTCCAACGGCAACTGCCTCCAACTGCAACTCATACGGCAACTGTCTCCAAGTGCAACTCCAACGGCAACTAACTCGAACTAACTATGCCCCCACCCCCATGGGCACTTGTATTTATGGGTGTCTCTTCCAACTAGTGTGGTTCGGGCGAATAGGTGGGTTTTATGCAAATCTTCTAAAATTCAACCAGTCACTTTCTTTCGTTTTCTATTTCACACTTCCAATTTTGGAAGATTCCCCCCTCTTTCGGAAGGAGCCATTATATGATGTCAGCATTCCTGACGTCGTATTCTGCCTTTACAATTGCTCGCAATTATAATTTTTTCTCAGGGAAATTTTGGCTGACAACTTTCTCAGCACGTATAATTTGGACAACTTTCAACAGACGACTTAACCTCTGGCCCCTGACCCTTGCACCTGTTCGTTGTTTCTCGCCAGGCAACGACAATGGCATTCTGCATATTTTTTTTAACAAAATTCATACATCTGCTCCCATATACAGGGAAAATAATTCTCTTTCTGACAAAAATAAATAAATAAATAAATAAATAAAATCGTTTTGTATAACCCTTTTCGTCCGTAAGCCATGTTAAATATTGTTACATTACTACATCGTTCCCTGTGATATGTATTGTAGCTGTGGTTACGGGGAGCTATGGCTGCAGCCTATTCAGTGGTGAACCAAGTCTGTTCGGTTTTTACTGGAATTATTTCTGTGGTATAAAACTCCTCATTCTAAGGCACTGTGGACAAGTGCCACGCGGAAGAACATACGAGAGATTAGGGTCCTAATTTTGCTACATGGGAACCTGTCCTTAATATAGGCGTCGAGTCGGTGGCCGTGGTGATTTTAATGGTCATGCTTTACTATTAGGGGCTAGTAGCCCGCGATTGCGAGTTCCTGTACAGAGGTAGTTGTGTCGATAGGATTAGGAGGTCAGTTTTGGCACCGAGCAGGTGGACTTTCTGGAATGTTGGAATTAGAGCTCTCTCATTGGTATAGGAGATGGCGTGTAATTTACTTTTCTCATGTTGGGTTTAATATTTTTCAGTTGTGTTGTGGTCATGATTAGAAATCAGTGTTTTCGATTGAAGACTAGGTAGCGAGACAGGAGATGCATGTATCAATAACCTGGACTGAACTTCCAGGAGCTGCAGTCGTAACAGTAGCCTTCAATATGTCATCGAGAGGCCCCACTGGAGACTACTTCACGATCCATTAACCATTCACAAAATGTTAGTACAGTAGACTAGATATTATATACCTACTGATAAGGAAGCCTCCTTCGAAGCTACTTAAAGGTTCGGATTCCTAACTATTAGGCGGATAAAGCCACCCCCACCCCGAAAAAAGCTCACCTCCAGTACCCTTAATGAAGGAACAAATAATACAGATAAAAAGATACAGGCTTGATATCCTGAGTATACATGTCACCTTTACCTAGAAATCAAGGCAACAGAACTTTTTTTAGTCAGAAATATCGTACCAAGAAAATCTCGCTCGTATATGAGGGCTAAAAGATTCACTAAAAGTAGAGGGTAACATAGGTTGCTTGGGGTGCGTCAGCATCCTCTAGCACCATTGGTCTTAATATTATCGTAGAAACAAAATTACGTGAACGAAATCTAGCGTTTTCTTTCTTTCCTTCTTTTTCCCTTTTTCTTTCTTTCTTTCTTTCTTTCTTTCTTTCTTTCTTTCTTTCTTTCTTTCTGTTCCAGCTTTCTTTCTTTCTTTCTTTCTTTCTGTTCCAGCTTTCTTTCTTTCTTTCTTTCTTTCTTTCTTTATTTCTTTCTTTCTTTCTTTCTTTCTTTCTTTCTGTTCCAGCTTTCTTTCTTTCTTTCTTTCTTTCTTTCTTTCTGTTCCAGCTTTCTTTCTTTCTTTCTTTCTTTCTTTCTTTCTTTCTTTCTGTTCCAGCTTTCTTTCTTTCTTTCTTTCTTTTCTTTCTTTCTTTCTTTCTTTCTTTCTGTTCCAGCTTTTCTTTCTTTCTTTCTTTCTTTCTTTTCTTTCTTTCTTTCTTTTTTCTTTCTTTCTTTCTGTTCCAGCTTTCTTTCTTTCTTTCTTTCTTTCTTTCTTTCTTTCTTTCTTTCTTTCTGTTCCAGCTTTCTTTCTTTCTTTCTTTCTTTCTTTCTTTCTTTCTTTCTTTCTTTCTTTCTTTCTTTCTTTTACTTTTTAATCCTCCCTCTCCATTTCATTCTTTCTGAGCATTTTATTTCTTTTATGCATTTCTTAATCTTTTTGTGCTTTCTTTCATTTTCGTTTTTACTCTTTCTTTCTTTCTTTTTCTTTCTTTCTTTTTCTTTCTTTCTTTCTAATCCCCCCCACCATTTATTTCTTTCAGTGAATACTGGACAATTCCGTCAGCGATTAAAAGGAGACATTAGACAATAAAGATGTTAGACCAACAAAAAAATTCTCCTGAGAATACCGTGTGCGAAACATGTGAGTAAAATTGGAAAAAAAAACCCAAAAAAACAAGACAGTTGAAATTTCGAGGGCACATGATAAAGAAAAGGGGCTCAGAGAATCTGAAACTCTCGGGGCTTACTGAAAGAAAGATAATCGGCGGGAAACAGCGAGTAACCTACTTAAAGACTTTATTTGAATGGATGGAAGAATAAGAACAAAAAGAAATGTTAAAAGGCCAAAAGTTACATAGAATAAAAAAAAATGACAGGGACGTGGAAGACATGAAAATTATTTATCAAATCTCAAGTCCCGTAAATCTTTTGAACGATATGCTCAAGAGACTTACTTGACACTGAGAACCAGATTTGTTTGCAAACTGAAAGAAAAAAATGTCCGGAAAAAAATCTACGATAGATTTGTTTCGTCTTTTGAATTTGGTTAGTCCAGTCTGATGTTTCACAATAAAATAATACAAAATGTCAATAGATTTGTTTCGTGTTTTGAATTTAGTTAGTTCTGTCTGATGTCTCACAATAAAGCAATCCAAAATGTCAATAGATCTGTTTTATGTTTTGAATTTGGTTAGTTCTGTCTGTTGTTTCACAATAAAATAAGGCAAAATGTCGATATATTTGTTTCGTGTTTTAAATTTGGTTAGTTCCGTCTAATGTTTCACAATAAAGCAATCCAAAATGCCGATAGATTTTGTTTTTGAATTTGGTTAGTTCTGTCTGATGTCTGACAATAAAGCAATACAAAGTGTCAATAAATTTGTTTCGTGTTTTGAATTCGGTTAGTTTTGTACATAGATTTACTACAAGGCTCAGTAAATTTTTGATTTGCGTATTAAAAAAACATTTTAAAATAGCGTTGTCTATTTATTTTTGCCTTCTACTTTTAACATGAACAGAGTTACAATTCGATTCTTCTTTTTCTCATATTCCTTTTCTTTTTTCAAATTCATAAATAGAAATATTTAAACCTAGAAACCTAAAATTGTCCAAAATTAGTGCAATCATTTCGCACTCACCTAAATTATGTCCTGATTAGCGCATTTTGTTTTCCCTTTTTGCGTTTGCTGAAGCCTTGGGTAAAATACCGAAGAAAATAATTTACAATAGGATTTGTAAAAATATATAAATTCCTATAATTAACAAAGAATTTTTACTTTTATATAAAATCTGGTTTTCGAAAACTTTATTTTCTCCTTTCAAGATAGCGACGATTATGAGTCATCTGAGCTTTCGACCGATTTATAATAAACGTACACATTCTACATACATTGCAAATTTAGTTCAATTTTGAATCATTGAGTAGAAAAATTAGAACGCTGTTTTGTATAAAGTTCACATAAGATGAAAAATAATTTTATCCTTTTTATCATTTTTATCATTTTTGTTTTCCTTTTCTTTTTCATTCTATTCTCCCTTTCTTTCTGAACATTTTTCTCTTTTATGTATTTTTTAACTTTTGTTTTCTTTCTTTCTTTCTTTCTTTCTTATTATTTGTATTCGCCCAAGTTTCCTACTTCATTTCTTTTTAGTATTGCATCTCAATTATTTTTCATTTGTATATTTGTGAGTTTATCAAGCTATAGTTTCTTTCTTTCTTTCTTTCTTTTTTCTTTCTTTCTTTCTTTCTTTTATTTTTATTTTTCATTCTTCTTTCTTTCTTTCTTTTATTTTTATTTTTCATTCTTTTTTCTTTCTTTATTTCTTTCTTTCTTTCTTTTTTGTTTCTTTTATTCTTATTTTTCATTCTTCCTCCCTCTCTCCTTCTCTCTTTCTTTCTTTCATTCATTTTTTCTCCTTTTCTTTTACTTTTTCATTCCACCCTCCCTTTCTTGCTGAGTATTTTATCTCTTTTATGTATTTCTTAATCTTTCCTATGATTCTTTCTTTCTTTCTTTCTTTCTTTCTTTCTTTCTTTCTTTCTTTCTTTCTTTCTTTTCTTTTCTTTTTCTTTCTCATTCTACCCTCCCTTCCTTTCCGAGCATTTTATGTCTTTTATGTATTTTTAATCATTTTTTGTATTTTCTTTCGTTTTCGTCTTTTTTGTTCATTTCTTTCTTTCTTTTACGGTTTATAAAAGTTACTGGGAGGGGTGACTAACATGCAACACTTACTAAGAGTTAATAAATATAGGCTGTTGTGGAGAGCCATGATCGCACACGTAGAGAAGGGTCACGGTATATAAAAGGTACTGGAACAGATGGTGAAAAGACAAGCTTTACAAATGGGGACAAAAGGAAGTTGTGAAAAGCCATGATCGCATACGTCTAGAAGGAACACGGTATATAAAAGAAAATTTACACTAGACTGCCAAGTAAAATCAACCTCGGAATAGTTTTGCTTATATTTATTCTTAAGTCTACTGATACATTAGAAAACTATGGCCAAATGTTTAGATTAAAGGTGGAAAAGAAACCGACGTAGATTTTCCAAGCGTAGCTCAGATGTGGCACAAGGCCGAAAGAATGGGGAATCCAGTGAGGATCGAACGCACTTTTCAGTAGTAACTGATCTGGCAAGACAAGCTTGTTAATCATTACACCACGCTGAGGCGCCCAACCGACGTAGCTGTATGTGCTTTCATAAAAGATATACTGCCGACAGCTTCAGTGTTAAAATTCTCTCGAATCATACCCCCACCCCACAAAAAAATGAAAATATAGTTCAAACAAATGTTTGAGTAACATTCAATTTTTATATGGGCATACAACAAAGACAGACGACAAGAGCAGAGTTTAAAAGAGACGAAAATTTTATTACACACAAAAATTAACGTATTAAACAAATTAAGCGCATTGTGTGCCAAATGATGGACAATAACATGTATGCAAATTATTAATGTAAATGAAATATGCCTTTTTTTTTTACAATAAAAATGTTGCATATCAGTAGGTTGTTCTAAATAAAAACAATTAATAGTTTATGTCCATTCATTAGCGATTCACGAAGAATTAACTCAGTAACAATGATCAGAGACTTGGTCAAAAAAATTTAATAGAATATACTGCACACTCTAAAATTTATTACACACAAATTATTTTCTTTTTATTGATATGAGGCTATGCAAGGATCACTTGTTGGTACATTAACCTATATACTCTAAAGTTGCATACAAATTGTTTTCTTTCCATTGATACGAGGCTCTGTTAGGATCAGTGTAGAGAAGAGTAACTTATACACTGTAAAATTGAATCTAGAATTTACTTGTTTTGCATTTATATGAAGCTATGTAAGGATCAGTGTCGGAAGGAATACTGTAAACGGATTACTTTCTTGAATTGATCCGTGGCTATGTCAGGATCAATATTTATAACAGACTCTAAAATTTAAGTTCCAACTTCTGTTGATCCGAAGCTCTGGCGATAATTATTGAAAGACTAGCAACATGGCCCGGCGTTGCCCGTGCTTGATTCAAAAATCGTACGACTCATACAGCAATCGCTATCATTTGACTTAAAATATTTTTGCCCTTCTTTGCCTTTAAAGGAGTGCCCTTTGCCGCGCTGATGTTGCTACATGCCTTACTTCTTGCCTATCTCACACTGCGAATTGTTTCTAAGCTCTATACTAAACATTAAATCTGTTACGAAAAAAGAACTAAACAAAATGAACACAAAACGATCAGCTTTAAAAAGGACTCGTAACTGGAAAAACCGAATGAAAAAAGAATGTTAACAACAAATACTTTTTTCACACCCAACCCAGTTCTACGGAATCAGAATCAACGTTGAGTTTAAGCAAGCGAATGAGCCAATTGGAGTAAAGTGCCATGCAGATTAAAATTTTTCCCATTTGTGACGAATGCAGCTATCGATTTTTTTTGCATGCTAGCATGCTAGTTAAGATTCGTGTCAGTCAGCTGTTGGCTCTCGTGCTGGCCAATAGAATCTTCCTGCCTATTCGTGGCAGCCAGCTATTGGCTCACACTCTAGCCAGTACAAAATAACCGTAAAGTACATGAAAACTGCCGTAGAAGCATGAAAAATATCGATTATTTCCACTATCGATGGTAGTTGGGAAATGCAACGTCGGTCTTGGCCTTCCCGCTAACTTGGAGCATGTGCATGTAAATTTTGGTGCAAATCCGTCGAAAATTGCGGCCGTGCATTCGTTAGACACACACACACACACACACACACACACACCCTGCCTTTTATAAATAGAGATAAAGTTATACACTCGAAAGGTTAATCTACAAATAGTATCCCTTACATTAATTAGAGTTACTGTTAAATATCATGTTTGGAAGTGTAACTCTAAAATATAACCTAAAATTGATAATTTTGAATTGATCAAAGGCTATCGCAGAACAAATACCCGGATAAATTACATTGTCAGCACTTGTAATTTTCCGGATGGATATTTAACGATTTGCACTTATCATACTGAGCATATCGTAAAGCATTCAAAAACTCTTCAACAATACATTCCTCAGCTATGTAGTGTAAGGCCTCTTTTTTCTGTAACAGCATAATTTAATGGTAATCGTCCAATATCTATCTATCTATCTATCTATCTATCTATCTATCTATCTATCTATCTATCTATCTATGTCTCTCTCCCTCAGAACATAGCACAACTAATCCATGAACCTGTCTTTTTGAATGTCTGTATCTCTTTCCATTCCACACGCCCAACTATAGGTTTAATATAGGGTGTTCCAATAAATTAGACCGATTTTAAATGTGAATTAAGTTTAAGTGTCTAATGATTTTGTTTTTTTTTCTTTCAGATTTAACAACTTATGTCTTTAGCAATTTCAACCATGGAAAGATTAACAATCAAACAACGTGTTAAAGTTTCAAGAGTGCAATTGGAAAAATTGTTCGTAAATTCAAACAAACTGGGTCGGTGGCAGATGTGAAAACACCAATGCGTGCTCGTTTACGCCGTTCATCTGAAAACATTGCAGCAGTGCACGAGAATGTGACCGAAAATCCAGACCCCTCTATTTGTCATCGCCCGCAGGAATTGAACCTCTCCACAACAATATTACATCGAATTTTGACAAAAGCTTTGTCTCTACACGCTTACAAAATTCAATTGAGACAATAACTGAAACCTGCTGACCATTTGGAGCGCCGTACATTCGTCAATTGGGTGCATGAGCAAAGACAAGCCGATGAAGATTTTTCGTAAAAAAATCCCTTTAGTGATGAAGCCCATTTTCATCTTGGTGGATTCGTTAATAAGCAGAATTGTCACATTTGGGCTGATGAAAATCCAAGGAAGATTTTTGAAAAGTCACTGCATCCAAAAAAAGGTCATTGTTTGGTGTGCATTTTTTTGCTAGCGGAATCATTGGGCCGTATATTTATAAATTTAAACGTCCATTTTCGTAATAGGCTTCGATAACTTTAACACGCTGTTTGATTGTTAATCTTTCCATGGTTGAAATTGCCAAAGATTTGAGTTGTTAAATCTGAAAGAAAAAGAAAAAAAAAATCATTAGACGCTTTAACTTAATTCACATTTAAAATCGGCCCAAGTTATTAGAACATCCTTTATAAATAATCCTGCCATTTTTTACAGGTACTTTGCTAATAAAACAGATGTAAGTTTTTAAAACCTGATCTGTGTTTCTATTTATTCATTTTTTTTTTCAAACATTTAATGAAAGCTAGGTTACCCTTTAATAAGCCTTATTATCTCATCTTTCAGCTATTGAATTGTTGTTGGTTTGTTGGCATTAACCTTACTTTTGAGATGACCCGAAAGGAAGAGATCTAAAGGCGTCAAGTCTCACGATTGTGGTGGCCAATTGACTTCGCTGTTTCTAAAGATGATGCGACCTGGGAACTTCTCATTGTATTTCTGTTTGAACGTCCATTTTCGTAATAGGTTTTGATAACGTTAACATGTTGCTTGATTGTTAATCTTTCCATGGTTGAAATTGCCAAAGATTGAGTTGTTAAATCTGAAAGAAAAAGAAAAAATTCATTAGACGCTTAAATTAATTCACATTTAAAATCGGCTCAAGTTATTGAAACACCCTACAAAGCCTATGACAGAACAAAGGCCCGGATAAACTACATATCGCATAGCAAATTGAAATTACTACTAATTTCTTTGTGTTAATCAAGGGCACAGTCAGAATCAATAACCTCAGTCAGTCAGGAAGAATAACATTTACACTGTAAATTTTCATCATTCTTGGCATTATTCATAGGCTGAGTCGAAACAATTAATTGGAAGAAAGCATACGGTATTAAATTTAACCTCCCATTTGATTACGTTCCATTGATCTGAGGCACACACATTAAAAATTTTGGAAATATAAAGTATAAATTCTTGTTTTTATATCTTCAAACAGATTTGAATGTTTTGATGAGAGGCTCTGAATAAAACGAGTAATAGCTTAAAAACATTAAAATTTAAACTCCAAATTTCTTTCTTTGCATTGATCACAGGCTATGTCATGTTCAGTTGTTAAGAGAATAGCCTGCACATTCTAGAATTTAAATTCAAAATCGCTTTCTTTGCATTGATCACAGGCTATGTCATGTTCAATGGTTAAGAGAATCGCCTATACATTCTAGAATTTAAATTCTAAATACCTCTCTTTGCATTGATCACAGGTTATATCTTGTTCAGTGGTTAAAAGAATAGGCTATACATTCTAGAATTTAAATTCAAAATCGCTCTTTTTTTTCATTGATCACAGGCTATATCAGGTTTTATGGTGAAATGAAAATTTAGTATTTTTCACTTTTTTATGCCGCTATAGAGAAATAGTCACTAGACACTGGGGTGTGTATTTGTTTTATTTATTCTAATGCGAGCTTATTTTCGTTGCAAGATTGTGGCATTTTTGTGTGGACATGTCCGTGCATTTGCTGTGAATACTGTGTAAGTTTTCTCTTTTAAAACAATGTAAACTATATCTATTTCTAATTGTAGTTCATACGAACCGAATAGAATCTTGAACAAATATTAAATTTAGGTTAAATGTATTTGTTACAAAATCTAATATCAGTTCGTATTCAACTGGGGATATTTTTTTTCCCCAGAATTTTATCTCTCAATGTTAGTGCCGAATATTACACTGGGCAACACCAAATTTATTGTTTAAATATTTTTAACTTATTTAGGACAATTTTGATGTGCTGAATCCAAAAATCATATTGGTTTTGTTCAATCAGGTCAACTTTTTGAGCTATGGCCACATGCTGTTTTTTACGTCTTTGTTTCTGTTGTTATATCCATTACAATATCTAAATATGCGACATATTTCACGCAATAAAACTAATTATTATGTTAATTATAAACTTATTAATTTTAACCCACCAGAAATATTTTCAGACAAATATAGCTTCATAAATATTAAAACACGCCTCCAAAATCTTTATAAACCAATAAACATGCAAGAAAGTGTTTACATCTCAAAACATTAATTATATTGTGCAATACAAAAGCATAGAATATAAATCAGAAAGGTTGTTTTATTAGTCATTATAATTTAGGTTTACCGCCAAAATATTGCGCGGACGTAGTAGTAAGAATACCACGTCACTTTTTAGGGCCAATTAGAAATAACTAAAGTTATATAATTCAGGAGCCAATTTCTCAGGAATAACAGTATAAAAATCACGATGTTTGACCTCAACAACAGAGTCTCTCAGATTCCACTAAGGGCCATGTCACTCTAACTGCTGATATTCAAGACCTCATTCACTTCCATACACACATTATCAAGAAATGACTCAGCAGCTTGTTGACCAGGATCAAGCTTGGATGCCACACATGGTATATAAGGTTTGTACCGAGTATCTCCATTGGTGGACTAATTGCAAGAAAAGTTGTGTGAAATTTGGAATTCTCATAGTTTGGAGGGGGCCAACAAATTATAGCACTCACTGATTGCTATTTCTGTGCTATTGATGTGACTGGGATCAATAGAAAAGAACCGGGGTCGCCCCAAATATCCTGATCTTTAGTCAGCTCGTCGTCCTGTATCTCATTGCGATGAAATTCCAATACCTGTCTTTGGAGAACTTCTTGACATTAATGAGAAAGATTCACAAGTGTATCAGAAGAAAAAGAAGAAGAAGAATTAGTTCTCGACAATGATGCTCCACATCCTTTTTTCCCAAAAGGTACTCAATGATCTCATACACAATCTCAGCTTCGCAAAATCCTCTGCCAAATCTAGATTGAAGAAAAAAACAACTCCTCTTCGACAGTGCTCATATCACCTTCTATTGCAACAGGTATCAAGAGTAACTGTTTATTTTTCTCTGAAGAGAAGAACTTGGTGTACTGTACAGATATTGCGCAGCTTCTGCACAAAATTGGAGTACCACAGTACGAACCCAAAGATTGAAGACTGTTCATTAACAGCGGCAAACGTGAAAAGTATTTAGCTGCACAATGGCAACCAGTTTTCCTCTGCATCCCTGCTCACCCGATTAAACTGAAGGAGAAATATGAAGCAGTGAATTATGGACAGGAGAAAATTCTTTCATGAGTGGTTTATTTGCGTCGACCTGAAGATGTTGAACTTTTTGTTGGGACAACAGTCGAGGTTCATCAAGTATCCATTGCATGTGGGATAGTAGGGACACTGCTCGCATTACACAGAAAAGGACTGGCCTTTTGGGCAGGAATTGAAGCCTTGCAGAGCAAAAATCATCAATAAGCCTCCAGTGAACAGAGACAGGATACTTTTCCCACTGCTGCACATCAAGTTCGGCTTGATCAAGCAGTTCATCAAAGCTCTGAACAAGGATAGTGACTGATTCACTTAATTGTGCCAGGCTTTTCCAGTATTGACGATGGAAAAGTTGAAAGTTGTCATCATTGATTGTTCTCAAATCCGTCAACTCATCAGAGATCCAGAGTTTTAAAACTCAATGTACGAAGTGGAACTGGAAGCATGGAAGGCATTTATTCTGGTCGTGAAGAACTTTCTTGGCAACAACAAGGCCAGGAACTCCACAGAACTTGTCATTAATATGCTGACAGCTTTCAGAAACCTCGATGCAACATGAACATCAAAATGCTGTATTTATTCTCACATAGGGATCGTTTTTCGTGAGAATTTGGGATCAATGAAGACGAACAGGCTGGGGAGATTCCATCAGGACATGACCTGGTATCAGGGATACTGGTATGCATTCATGATGGCTGATTACCGCTGGAATTTGAAGAGAGACGCCCCTGCTACTGTTCATTCTAATGTTTTAAATATATATATGATGACGTACATTGCAATTTACATGTACGTACATTTATCAATGTATAGTATTTAATTTATTGTAATCGATGTTTGTAACATTTAATTATTAAATTGTATTAGAAAACAATTTTTTCTTTTATTTTCTATGAGAAAATACTTATTTTCTATGAGAAATATTAACAAAATTCAATCGATAATGTCGCGAAAATGTAATCGATTTAGTCATAAGATCGGATTTTTAAAAAACTCAACATAGTTCAAAAATGTGAAAAAACGGGGAAAATCTGCCTCGTCAGTTATGTATCGAAAGATACATGATCGTCTAAATGTGCATGACACATAACTGACTGAGTCTGTTGGTGAGTGAGTGAACTCGAAGTTTGGGATTATGTTAGG